TTTTTTTATTGGAAAACTGAATCATATACAGGTTTTTTCCTAATAATTTATTTAGTTTTTAATTTACATCCAAGTTAGTTAACATATGATTTCAGGAGTAGATTCACAACAGTGATTTCAGGAGTAGATTCCTTAGTGCCCCTTACCCATTTAGCCCATGTCCCCTCCCACAACACCTCCAGCAACCCTGTTTTTTCTCTATATTTAAGAGTCTCGTATGTTTTGTCCCCCTGTCTGTTTTTATATTATTTTTGCTTTTCTTGTCTTATGTTCATCTGTTTTGTATCTTAAAGTCCTCATACAAGTGAAGTCATACGTATTCTCTCTTTGACTAATTTCGCTTAGCTATAATCTGCTTTTCGATTTTAATAATAATGTAAGTCTCTTTCTTGTCATTAAATAAACTTTTATAATCCTGGCAATGATGTAAAGGTTTTCATTTTGTGGAGGTACTGTGATTTGTTTAAATATTCTCATACTGCTGGGCATATGGATTATTTCCAATTTGTGTAATTTGTTTTTATAAACAGTGCTTCTGTGAATATCCTTGTAGCTAAATTATTTTTGTGCGGCTGAGTTTTTTATAGGATGAATTCCTAGACATAGAATTATTGAGTCATAGGTCATGAACATTTTTTATTGTTTTGACCTACTACTGTAGGTCAAATTGTTCTTATATTTATTCAGCCAGTAGTATCAGTTCCTATGGGTGCTCTTTTCTCTAGCGTTATTAATAGCAGTTGCTATTTTTAATTAATTTATTAATATGATAGGCAAAAAATACTATTTATAGGTTATTCTGTCTCTTGAGCCTTAATTATTAAAATCCCAAGTTTAAAAGCATAGCATTTTATCAGAGAATTAATTAGATGGAAATTAAGGTCGACTTACTTAAAGTCATATGGACAGTTAATAAAAGAACTGAGATAAAAGAACCTAAGATCTTTTGAACATCATTTCAGTGTAGTTTTACTGTTAGAATAGATTTATTTTAAAAATTAGACCTCACACTAAATGTTTCATTTTCATTTTTCAAAAAATAATAGATTTCTACTAAGTAAATATAAAACATCTTATTTGGGGAATATAGAAAAGGTGTTAATTTTCATAAATAGTCATTTACATAAGTGAATAATTCAGAGTGATAATATACTTATGTAACTAGCAGGATGATCAAAAGTGAGGGATTTGAGGAAGTACACAGATACATGGCAGTAGAATTACATCCTACTTTAAACTGATCTTAGGGGCACCTGGGTGGCTCAGTCTGTTGAGCGTCTGACTTTGGCTCAAGTCATGATCTCGCAGTCTGTGAGTTTGAGCCCCGTGTCGGGCTCTGTGCTGACAGCTCAGAGCCTGGAGCCTGCTTCTGATTCTGTGTCTCCCTCTCTCTCTGCCCCTTATGCATGCTCTGTCTCCCCCTCTCTCTCTGCCCCTCATGCTCTCTCTGTCAAAAATAAATAAACATAAAAAAAATTTTTTTAAATAAAAAAAATAAATAAATAAACTGATCTTAATAAAATATTCTAGCCCGAAGACAACTTCACACCATTACATTTTGTCCTTTTAGAGAGTGAAACAGTTTACTCTTTAGTATGGATGCTTTATTTTCATATCTAAGGCACATTTTTTTCTGGTCATTTCAGTGTTCTTAAAAGTAGTTAAATTAGAATGTAATTTGTAAATGTAATTTACAATAGAATTATGTCATTTTAGAACATTAATTTTTGATAAATTTCATACCTTACAAATGAAAATAATTAGTGCTTTCCAAGTAAAAGTATATTTCTTCTTTATATAGAGAGTTCTGGAGTCTGAAGAGCAAGTACTTGTTATGTATCATAGGTATTGGGAGGAGTATAGCAAAGGTGCAGACTATATGGACTGCTTGTATAGGTAAGTATGCCTTGAAACTCTTGACAATCTATAAATAGTATTGCCTGCATTCAGTAATTGAAGGAGTTTTGGTTTTTGGTTTTTGAATCACCTCTTACCCATAGAAATAAACAGAGCTAAAGTGTTCCCTGCTATATGGACTGTGTCTGCTATGGGGAAAATGTAGTCTGGGTCATGGAGGAATATGGGAGCCAGGCAGTGTGTGGAAAGTTATTCTCTGAAAACTAAAACTGTATTTAATTCTGTAGTTCTGTGTGCTAAATCTTGACAAGAGTTCCAAAGTGGAACTTTAGCTTGGATGAAGCTTAGCAGAGTAAATGCAAGCCTGTGTTCCCTGCCAGTATGCTCTTTTTGGACTCTAGGATTCAGTATTTTATGTTTTGTGGAAACACTTCTTTGTCAAAGCACTCAGCAGTTTTTCTCTTGAAGTTCTACCCTATCCTATAGGCATATTGAATTACCTACAGTGTGTTAATGCCCTATGGTCTCTCACATTTTTGTCTTTTTTGATGCTGTCATATCTATCTAGATGGCTTTTCTAGAAGCCAGTCTTTTCTAGAACTAATTCTTTTTTTTTTTTTTTTGAATGTTTATTTATTTTTGAGAGAGAGAGTGCGAGCACTGAAGGGGCAGAGAGAGAGAAGGAGACAGAATCATATGCAGGCTCTAGGCTCCAAGCTGTCAGCACAGAACCTGACACAGGGCTGGAACTCAGAAACTGAGATCATGACCTGAACTGAATTCAGACACTTAACTGACTGAACCACCTAGGCGCCCCTCTGAATGAGTAATCCTGATGTATTTTTCCACATTCTCCTCTCTGAACTTCCCTTGTCCTTGCTCTACCTAGTTTCCTGCGTAGATCTTTTGTGTTAACTGTCATTCCTGCATGTTCCTATGGTAGTCCACACTGATCCTCTCTAACCTATTCACATAGACAATGGAAATAAATTTCTGGGTACATGAAGCAGAGACCTATTTATTGAAGAATGTTGGATAAATAAGGAATAGTGGCGTTAAGTAACCTAGGCCTTTCATCCTTGGAATTAGGGTGTCTGCTCTTGAAATTGTTATGGCCTCTGATGAGGCAGTGATAATTTTGGCATCTGCATTGTGGCATGGGCTGAGATGGACCCCTGCCTTAGTTTTTCATTGGGGAGAAGCTGAGGAGTGAAGCTGATTCTCAAAACATCATCTGTACAGTTACACTCTGCATTGCTGGAGTAGCACACTGAGGCCAGGGCTTGGTTCTCTTGCTTGGCGTGTTTGTCCTTTGTCACTGGTTCATATTCCTGTAGGTTTTTATAACAACACTGGAGTTTACTCACTGTAAGTTGCTTCTGTTGGAAACTGGAACTTATTTCAACAGCCATTAGCTTTTATATCTTCTTAGAAGAGCCAAGTGTAATAAAATCAGAAGCCAGCAATTGCTGACAGGCACAAGATTTACTGTGGCTTTGGCTTTTATAAACAGTGTTTGCCATACATTAAACATCTTGACATTTCATGTTTTTTTTTTTTTTCCTCATCCACCAAAGTGAGATAGGCATAAATAGAACTTTAAGAATTCCCTAGCTAAATTAGGAGAATTACAGGAATTTTGAGGATGAAAGTGAGAGCACATGCATGCTTTGCTGTTGCTGAGAAGCTTGGGCCACTGGTATACAGATAACATGAGAGAGTATTTAAGACTATATGCCAGTGCAGTATGCTGTGTGCAGTGGGATACCTCTTGAGCTGAGACGTTGTGGTAAAGATTTAAGTTGTTTTTCTATTTTTTCTTAGATTTCTAGGTTCTCCTATATCTGCATCTCTGTTTACCAGAATTAATTAATTTGGTAATTTAAATTAATGGTAATATTAATAAAAAATTGGTAATATTAGTGAACTTTTATTAAATATATATTGTATATACACAAATGTGTGTGTATATAAACCATGTGAGGTAGTTGATATTGCCAAATTTGCAGCTGAAGAGACTAGACTCAGAGAGGTTAAATGACTTTGCTCAAGGTCATTCAGTGGAAAAAAATTTTTGCTAATACCAACCCAGATTGGTCACATTAAACCCATTCAACTTCTTCATTCTACCTTCGTCTCATCCTAGATTCACTCTTTTAGTCATTTAGGTAGATTTTTTTCTCATCTTTTATCTTATACTTTGCATTCTTTCTAGGATGATCTCAATTACTTCTGGTTTTAGCTACAACTTACATATTACTAACCACCAAAATATTTGTATATCCCAGGTGGTCTTAGGTTTCAGAGGAGTATTTTTACCTAACCCGCCTATACCTCCAGGTTATTCTGTGGGTACATTGTACTATTGCAGATTTCAAAACTGAGCATGTAATCTTTTATATACTGTCCCCAGTATACTGTCCCCAGTATTACTATTTTTAATTGGTAGTAATACTGTGCACCCAGGCATAAATGCCGAAAGTCTCAGTTACCCTTCCTTCACTTAGGGTTGTCCTTTCTCCCTGATCTCTATTGGTCACATCCTCCAAATATCTCTTAAATTCATTATTTCCTTTGCATTGCTATTATAGTTCAAGCTTTTTATCATTTCTCACCTGGACTATTAATGATAAAGTCCCTATAACCAGTCTTCCAACCTTTGATTGCTAATTTATCCTATTTACTAAACTCATATTTTTTTAACATGCAAATTTGATCACTCTCTAAAATCATGTAGTAACTTTCCACTATCTATAGCAAAGACTTAGAACTAATGGCTAATGGGATTCACATACAGAGAATTGTATTTGACCTCTGTGATGCTGGCATCATGTGGCTGACCATCATTTATTTAATTATATTGGTAGAATAGGTGGTAAGATCCTTTTTATAGAGGATATAGTTGGCAGTAATTACATGAAAACTGCTTAATGATAGTTTTTAATTGTAGGGTAGTGAGGTTTGATCCAGGCTAGCTATCATTTTTAATCATAGTCTGTAAGGATATATTTGTAGAGAAATATAAAGGAAGAATTCAATTTTGTTTCAAGTGTTTTTAAATATTTTTATGAAGTGATTTCTACCCTCTTGTTTATCCTGATTGATTTCTAAGATGGATATGCATTAATATAGGTAATTTAAGGATTCTGACTGTAAGGAAAATGCTGATACTCCTGCCTGCCTTTCCCAGTACTACATAGCTCTTTAGACCCTGCTGGCTCTTGGAGTATTAACGACTTTTGAAATCCAGTAGGTATTAGCATGAGAACAATTTCTGTAATGCAATTTCCTATGATAGATTGAAATGCTTGGTTTCTCTGAGGCTTCAAAGTTACTTTAGGCTCTTCATTATTGGCAAGTACTATTTTTAATTGTGTCAGTGCTAATACTCCAGAAAAGTGAAGGATACTTATTAAGCACTTTGTAGGTAAAGTAAATTATAAAAACATAAAAGTTATAAAAACTATTGCATCATACATGAGAAGAACAATCAGGTATTGCCTTTAAGAAATTATTGGGACCTATTTTCTTTTATAATTTCTTAGAACATATGTCTTTAAAAACAAATGTGTCATTAATAAAATTGACTGTAAAATATTAAGTTAAGAATTGTATCCATGTCGGGGTGCCTGGGTGGCTCAGTCTTTTAAGCTAAAAGTCCAGGTCTTGATTTCAGCTCAGGTCATGATCTCATGATTCATGGGTTCAGTTCATGGGTTTGGGCCATGGCTGGCAGTGTGGAGCCTGCTTGGGATTCTCTCTCTTCCTGTCTTTCTGCCCCTCCCCTGCTTGTGTATGCTTGTTCTCTCTCTCTCTCTCTCTCTCTCTCTCTCTCTCTCTCTCTCAAAATAAATAAACTTAAAAAAAAGGTATCCATATCAAAATGAAAACTTACACTATTTACATTTTAAGTTACATCTTTAAATTATTTTAAAAGCTTGTCTTGTCAAGCTTAAATTTAACATTAAGAGTAGAAATCTGGAATGAGAAAGCTACAATTAATGGAAGTTAAAGTTTTATTCCATGAGGTAAAGAGAACAGTGACTTGTCCTGTCAGAATGGAAACATAAAGCTCCACTAAACCAGTATACTGGCTCAAGAATATACATACAGATCGTTGAAACAGATTAGTTGATTCCAGACTTCTGCAGGTCTAGCAGCTAGTTCTTCAGAGTTAACAAACCACTATGCTAAGAAGTTTACTCTATAGGTATAAGGGAGCTACTTAGGATTCTGAATGGGTTAGTGACATCCTGAAAGTGGAATTTTTAGATGAATTGGAGATGGCACAACAGAAATAAGAGACCAGTCATGAGAGTGTTGCACATGATCCAAGCAGAGAATTAACAAGAGACATTGGAAGAGAGAAGGAAAGTAATGGGAGAGAATAATGAATAGTTTAGGAGGAGATGAGGACTGGCTGATTAAAAGAGTAGAATGGAAGGATGAGAGAGAAGTGTTTCTAATCTTTTACTGGGATCGCCATGGTGGTACCACAGACCAAAAAAGAAACTGGTTGGGAGCAAAGGATTCGTATAGGAAGGCACATAGATATGGTAAAGATATGGTAATTAAGTCCCTCCACTCAGGGAGCATGTGTCACAGTTGAAATATTGTATTTGTTCATATTTGTATATTTTCCCAGATGTGTAAACTCTGTGTGGAAAGACCACATTTTTGTTTTTCATCTTTCTGTCCCTAGTGCCTGGCATTGTACCTGACATAGAGTTCACACTCAGTCAATATTTGTTGAATGAGAAAGGGAGAACTCAAGAGTTTCTGTGCCAGCTCTTCCACTTACTAGCACATTGACTGTTGGCAAGTTCCTTAAGCTCTCTAAGCTGCAATTTTCTTACATATAAAAGGAGGATCATAATAGTACCACATGTATGTACCTGATAGTATTCAGCTGTATAAAATGCTTAGGGGTATGCCTGACATGTAACATAAGCTCTATAAATGTTAGTGATTACTTGTATTTCCTGGCATTCATGGCTTTTATGATCCGGCTCCAGGCTGCTTTTCCAAGTTTGTGTTCTAATATTAGCTTTTGTTATTCCTGTTGTCTGGAATGTTATCCATTTATTTATTCAGTAATTCATCAAGGAAATATTTTTTGAGGACTTCATATTTACCTGCCACTGGTTCTGGATGCTGTGTGTGTGAGCCAGGTCCTTGCTTTGTAGTTGTTATAATCTAGAGAGGTGACAGATGTACAAAGCAAGTAAACAAATAACAGAATTGGAATATTTCACACAGTAGTAAGTACCATGAAGAATATAAAACAGTTGTGTATAGTCACTTCAGTGGGAGTGAAGTGGCGAATTAAAGTTCATTTGGATTGGGATCAGGTCAGGCCTGAGAGAAATGTGTTTGAGCTGACACCTGAATGACAGAGGCCAGAGGTTAAAATATCTCTCCAATTTATATATCTTCATTTCAGGCCAGATATCCCAAATCTTCTATTTCAGGTTAAAAAAAAAAAAAAAAAAAGCCATTCTTTCTCTATCTCTTACTTCTGTCTCTGTCAGTCCTATTTCCCTTTCTTCAATTGGAAGGCATGGTTGAAAACCCAGCATAAAATTATGAGGATCGTAGTGAGAATAGAAGGAAGGATGAAATGACATTTTGCAGGAAAAATATATTAGGACATTGTACATATGGGTAGAGGAGACTAAAATATCAAACAGAGTACCAAGGTTTTAAGCCTTAGAGTCTAGAGGCTTGAAATTAGTGTGGGAGTGCAACTTGTGTACATGGTTGTGTCTATACAGCTTTGGAGTTGTACTTTCAAGAATTGTATTTTGCATCATCTCCTAGAGTTGGTGGTAAAATAACACAGTTGAAATTTTTGTTGCCTTTGTTTTCAGTTTTAGTTGTCTGCACATGTAAAGTGGACTTTTCATTTTGATGCAACGAACATTAGAAAGTGTGCGTTTTAATATAAAGATTTTGTGGTTATTGCCTAAGTATTTATATGTCTTTAACTATATACACATGACAGAACCTTTCAGGTGGTAAGTAAGCATTAAAGGCATTGTAGTGAGGGGCGCTTGGGTGGCTCAGTTGGTTGAGTCCAACTTTGGCTCAAGTCTTTATCTCGCGATTTGTGAGTTTGGGCCCTACCTCGGGCTCTGTGCTGACAGCTCAGAGCCTGGAGCCTGTTTCAGATTCTGTGTCTCCCTGTCTCTCTGTCCCTTCCCTGCTTGTGCTGTATCTATCTCTCAAAAATAAATAAATGTTAAAAATATATGTATCAAAGGCATTATAGTGAAATCTAGGATTGTGAAAAGTGAGTACTAGAATGTTTCTTTTTAAAATTTTTTTTAATATTTATTTATTTTTGAGAGAGCCAGAGGCAGAATGCGAGTGGGTTAGGGGCAGAGAGAGGGAGACACAGAATCCGAAGCAGGCTCCAGGCTCCGAGCTGTCAGCACAGAGACTGACGCAGGGCTCGAACTCACGAGCTGTGAGATCATGACCTGAGCCTAAGTCGGATGCTCAACTGACTGAACCACCCAGGTACCCCAGTACTAGAATGTTTTGAGCCCTTTCTACATATTTTATTTACTTTAAAGAACTCTATTCATTTCAGTAATTCTTAGTTACTTGTCTCAGAATATGTTGAAACATTATAAAGCGATTGTCCTGTGGTAGACAAAGTGATTTTACCTTTGTCAGTTTTGCCCATACTTTCTACTGTCTGTAACAGTCTATTTCATTTTCTGTCTACTGATCACGATCTCTTTTTGTTGTTGTTTAATTACATCTTTTCCTGGTGATGAAATATAAGTTGAATGACTACCTGGATTTTTATTTTTTAAGCATTTTTTTTTTGTTTAGTTCTTTACAAAGTGAACTTACCAAGAGAATCTGGGAATGAGTTAATTAGATGGTAGAAGGATTATAGAAGCCCCTTGGGGAGGAGTTATTGGGCTATATGAGTACTGAAAAGTTTTAGACCAAATCCTTGAGTTTAAAAAAAAAATTTTTTTAATGTTTATTTTTGAGAGAGAGAGAGAGAGAGAGAGACTGCGCACGTGAGCAGGGGAGGGGCAGAGAGAGAGAGGGAGTCACAGAATTTGAAGCAGGCTCCAGGCTCTGAGCTGTCAGCACAGAGCCCCCATGTGGCGCTCGATGTGGGGCTCAAGCTCACGAACTGCGAGATCATGGCATGAGCCAAAGTCAGACGCTTAACTGACTGAGCCACCAGGTGCCCCTACCCTTGAGTTTTTTAAAGTGAAACTGGGGTGATAGGGTTTTTTTCCCCCACTCTAGAGGTCATATATTTTGGCTCTTAAGGCCTTGCAGAGAAAGTTTGGCTAATACTTTTGTTCCTTTTTAATTATATTTCTAATTTCTAATTAATTTGATATATTACCAAACTATTTTATAGTTGATTTATAACCCAAAATTATTGTTTTAAAGTTGCAAGTTATTTGTTTTACTACTGATTTTAACAGTTGTTTTCCTACTTACTTTAATAATAATATTATATTTGTTTTTCAGGTATCTCAACACCCAGTTTATTAAAAAGAATAAATTGACAGAAGCTGACCTTCAGTATGGCTACGGTGGTGTAGATATGAATGAACCACTTATGGAAATAGGAGAGGTAGGAAATTCTTTAAATGACTGGCAAGCATAGGAGTGTTTTTATATGTATATTGAGGTAATTTCATTCACTGTCCTTTTTTCAAGGACACTGTGTTGACTACCTTAAAATTGTCAAAATTTTTTTTTTAAGTTTATTTATTTTTGAGAGAGAACAAGCAAGGGAGGGGCAGAGAGAGAGGAAGAGAGAGAATCCGAAAGCTCTCACAGCAGGCTCTGTGCTGTCAGTGCAGAGCTTGACATCGGGCTCAAACCCATGAACCAGGAGATCACAACTTAGACTGAAATCAAGAGTCAGACACTTAACTGACTGAGCCACCCAGGCACCCCCAAAATTGTCAAGATTTGAGACATCCTAAATGTTAATAAAACACTGCAGTGATTTCCTGAGAATCTTCACATAGATGAG